ACCCGAAACAGTTGCCTGTCGAATTTCACGTACAATTTGCGTTGGAAAGCTTTTGAGCCGTAGCTAATGTTTTCGCTAAGCGATTCGTTCAAATTGTAAGACAAGGAGGGCGTTTGTTTTAAGCAATTTGTTCGCTCTTACCGACTTAAGATGTCGGGTCATTAAATTCATTGCTGTATTAATTTTAACAAAGGCTCTGTTTTAGTTAAATATTTATGTTAGTGGCACGATTTCGAACATAATGCCTGATAAATTGTTATTTGATGTAACATCAAGACAACGCCAAATTGAATTTTGTTGTTAGCTCTAAGTTTGCGTACCTTTAAGAGACGCCTTTAATATAAATCTGAGTTCAACGATAAGAAAGATTTACAAGTGAAATTATTTTCAACACAAAGAGTTTCATCAAAAGTAGATATTATTAAACCTATCAGAGAACGAATCAAGCCTTTGGTTCTGCGAAGCTTGTAGACAACTTTTTTCTTTCTCAGTTTATGAAGATATAAATTTAGCTTTATTAAAAGAAAAGAATATTAACTTTTCTTTGTATTTTTTCGCATTCATTTATGTTTGTAAAAAAGGTTTATGAAAAGACTCGCATAACGCCGTAGTTTTAACAGACAAGTTTAACGTCATTAAGAAAGAGAATAAAGTAGATCACATGGTTACCTGATAAATTCCTGAAAATTAACTATGATATATAAAGGACGAAATTTTACTGAACTAAAATCTGTTTTTAAGTAATCATAATACTACGTCACATAATTTTGATAAAGATTAATGCTTATTACGTTTGAAATTTATAATAAATTATTCAATTTCCATCGATGTCAAGTATTGATTCAAACAAGAATGACCGCTATAAAAAAGTGGCCCACCAGGAATTTTTTTTTTTTTTTTTTTTATAAATATAATTAAAATGTATAAAATCTATTTTATTGACAAACTGCTTTTCGATTTGTCCTACCGAAAATCTAAAGAGACCAATTCCTCAAATATGTGTTACTGCCGTCACTTGTGAACGTATTTTAACCACAGTTTCAGTACTTTAGAATACTCATTTCGTACATATCTCAATATCAATCACTACATAGTATAAAACAAAGTCGCTTTCTCTGTCCCTATATCCGTATGTATGCTTAAATATTCGAAACTACGCAAAGGATTTATATGCGGTTTTTTTATGGATAGCGTGATTCAAAAGCGAAGTTTTTATTAATAATAATACAAGATCACGCGGGCGAAACCGCTGGCGGAAAGCTAGTATCCTTATACAATATTCTTGTCTAAGAATAAAATTCTTGGAATACTCGTTTGTTTAACAACAGGTCGCTGTTTCGAAACCAACCCGAAGTGTGAGACAATTATTTTTTCAATGAGTTCATTTTGAATGTTAAGAAAATAATAATCATTTAACCGTGTCAGCATTGACTTGCACTGAGATGAGCGCTCGTTGATTCACGGGTGGGACCTGGAGTCCTGAATTACAGGGTTGCCCTAGCTTAGGCTCCAGATCGCACAAAATAATTACTCATAAATTGTTTTGCCTATCAATCAATGATTGTGTGATAAATAAACTGATTATTATTATTTCCGATACGTATCCAGTATTCACCTAAGTATTTTTAAACATGTCCTTGTTCTTAAAAAAAAAACTAGCTGTTGCAGATCTTTGTATTACCTGTCTTATATTAGAGAAGCAGAAGGGAAACATCAGTTCTTGTAAACGTTTCGTATCGCTTCGTCAAGGATTGTGTTACTATTCAATCAGCGCGTCTTTGTTCGATTGATGTATACGGAAAGAGAAATTCTGGCGCGAATTACTGGTTGGTATTTTTAGTGATGTGCCTGAAAATATTCCATGTTTACGTATAAATTTTAAAAATATTTAAACTTTCATTCGGCGCTGCAATAAAAAACGAAGCAATTAACCTGTTTGGCGCCTTTGTAAAATAATTGATCGATACAAGTGATTTAACATTTGGAGACAATTATTGTAATAAAATAAAATAAAATCGATATTATGCAAAACTCAATCTATTTACTTCATATAATTTTTGAAATAAAAAACAGTTGTTTTATATGCCATACAAGTACTCGTCTAGAAAGATTTATATATGCCATTGAAATAATTAAACACAGGATATTCAGATTTGAATAGTTATTCAATTTTACTTTGACATTTTGAGTGAAATTAATGGATTTTATTGCCTTTACTACCTTGTAATTTATAATTAACGCGATTAGCTTGAAAAAATGGCACATCCCACACCGAATTGAATATAATTTGATTACAGAGACTACATACAAATAAAACACTTGAGCGCTGGTACCCTTTTGCAGATTTTTTGACTGTTAACAAATATGGAAAAACTAATTCATAAAATTATTCAATGTTATATATATATATTTTTAATTAACAGTATTGCATTAATTCCTATAGCCAAAAACTTTATTTGTGATGATCGCGTTAGCATTTGATTGTGTAAAATTTAAGTATACCTTAGTGTATAAGCCCTTTGCGTATAAAAATATATTTTACTTTCTTTATTTTGTTATGTGCATAAGGTGTTTGCTTATAATTAATTGTACAATTAGCAATATTTAAGGCAATCATATCTATGTAAGCTGTCGTTGTAACAATATTTGATACTTATGTAATTTATTTATTTATTATCATAACCTCTATATTTTATTATAAAAAAAACTATGGGTAAATCTTAAAATAGGTATATTTTTATGGTATATCGTTTTAGGTTTACTCCCTACCATTTTTGAGTTACATCACTATTGTTTACTTACGCGGGTCGTACATCATAGGAAGTATCGCTTACCGACAAATTAGCGGGTGGGAAATATTTGCTAAAAATGGAGTCCTTTCTGTTTGCATTTGTTTCGTACGTTATTAGGATCGGATGAAGAGTAATAATAGTCTCGGAATCGGGGTGTAGCTCCATAGAACTTTGTATGTTTATTTTGAGTTTAGCTATCAGGATATTGTTAGATACCTATTCTGATTCATAATAAACGATGAAAATTAACTGAATGTTGACCGTTTGAAATTGATATTTTCAGTTCTCTTATTATTGAAACAATGTGAAGTATCATTTTCTGTTTTGAAATTGGTTTGAGAAATATCAATCCCATCAAAAACATAGTCGACTCTTATTTATAGGTATTAAAACGGTAATTAATACGTTGTATAATCACGTGAAGACCTTGAAATCTTCGTAATGGCTGGTTGTCTCAGCACATAAATGAGAGTCGCTCTCGTCTCCAAATAGGTTTATTTCTTAAAAATACTCTTAAACACTAGTTAAGAAGCTAGTCAATAACAGGCTTTATTTTCTTTGTTATTATCTCAATAACAGCAAAACTAAATGTTCCTCATAGAATCTAATAATATAATTATAGGAAAATGATAAAAATTTATTAGATTCGGATTTTTTCTTTTGTATTTATTCAATTACCTGACTGAATGCCAAATTTCACACTACTAGATTATCTGGAACTTGGTTGGAATTTTGGTCTATAGGTCAGTCAATACGTAATAAAAATGACTATTGAATGAATATTATATTAATGAATATTTATGAATTTTGGAGCATGGATGTCTTTATATATGAGCCAAATTTAACAGGTTTATGTGGAATAGTTTATGGGTTACGAGGAAGTCAAAAGTTGCTCCAAATGGTTCTTATAATATTACACAAGGTGTTCGCTAGTACTTACTTGGCTTGACGCGCAGTTGTGCGTCTAGATTTTGCTTTGTTAGTTTTAGTTGTCACCAATTTCACAGTATATTCTTGTATCAATTTCATAAGTTTAGAAAAACTACAATCATGATTTTTTATTAAACTACTAGACTGCAGTACATATATGTATCTTTCTTAATATCAAAAGATACATAAACCGTTATTGCAGATTACAAACGATTATCAAACGGTTCTATTCAGAAAATTCCTTTTTTGAGGTCAGATCAAACTTATCTAAAGGCCAATTTTAACTGAAGTTTCTCTAAGCTTAAGAATAACGTTCCGTTAAAATTCACTAGTGAAACGGGTGTCTATGTCACTGATAGTTTAAATAAACATTTCCATCTATTTTTTACATAGAGGACAATATAAAAACTTAACTTAAAATCGACTTTTTCGACTTAAGCGTGCAACAATCAGCTAATGTATTTTACTTTTGTTTCCATAAAACATGTTATTTCTTATATTCTGATTATGAGCAAACATATCAAAATGTCAAGAATATTTTGATAGTTAAGTAGAAGCAAGAGCGGTAAGTGGCATTTCATCTGATTTACGACATCTCTTGCTGAGTTTTGTATCTAACTTATATTTTACGTGGTATACTTGTAAGCATAAACGCACGCACGCAATGATTCACTGGAACGCGACCAATACGCCTTTACTACTTAAATATACATTGATTTCAAATTTTACTGCATATTAAAATAACCTTTACGTTGGATGGCCACTTATTTTTGAAAGAATTATTCAAAATGCCAACGAGTTGCGCCCCGCGAGGCACCCTACAGCTACTTTGATCATGAATCAACATAAAAATCAATTATTTTAATTGAAAATAACTTAAGATGTGAATATACGGAACTTTTAAATCAAATTAATTTCCTATGGAGTGTTACAACTGACATAATCGGTGATTTATTAAAATAAACTGATGTGAAGGATTTTGCAGTGAAATCGAAGTTGGACGAATGCTTTTGAATTATATTGGTTAAAGTAGGTTTTATTTATTATCGCTATCGTATACAGTAAGCTCGATATTTATTATGACTTATTTGTCATAACAAAATTTAAGGGGAAGGTTTAGGCACAACGAAGTCGCCTTTTTAGTTTCGGTAATTGAGAACTACAGATGGCCTTTGATGATATTTGACATAATTTAAAGTTTTAAGTTTTTAGCTCATACAATTAGCAATATATTTCAGTTTTATCAAGTAGCTGTAATGTGCTACAGTAATACTTAAAATGTCTTCACCGCCTCGAGGTATGTGGTACTGAATTTCCATTGTTTGTATGAAATTGAGTAAAAAATTTCCAATTACTCTATAAGTATATCGTTGTTCTTAAGCAACTTTCGCAAGAGTCGGTCACGGAATAAGTGATCAAAAAATCAAGTGAAAATTTGTAGACGTTAATACCCTTCAATCCGCATTGGGCCAACATGGAGGATCTAGCCCATCCTCCTTAACCATCCATAAAGAAGGCCAAGTGGGGACGTAAAAGAGCTGATGATGATGAGCTTTTTTTTAACAGAAGTTCTACGTCTGTGCGGTACCTTAATAAAGTTACATTAATATAAATATTATTGGTCTCTGACAGATTTTTGTTTGATTTCAATTAAATTAGGTAAATACTCTTAAATTTTTAATATTAGAATCAAATTATCCCAAACTTTTAGACGATTATATATTTTTTTTATTTGAATTTGAAGTAAATTTTATTCCATTAAGTTAAATCCATTTCAAGATATATTTTAACTAAGATCCTTTGAGAGGTGCGTTTCATTAAACCATCTTTGGGTCCTTTTATCAAATATCTGACATCTGAATTTCTCCAACTTGAATCTTTGACGAAGATCGACATCTTTTTTTATAAAGATTAAAACATTAGCGACTCACGTTTAAATTCTTAAACTAATGTTTTAATTAATGAAAAATTATATATATTTTAAATTACCTTATTGCATTTAAACATTATCAAATAATTATTAATACAATTATTATTATTGGTTCGAATCCCATCTCAGAGAGCCAGGGACAAAGTGGATTTTTTAAACATTTTCATTAAGAATATTATCAAACAATTTATACAATAAGCAAAAAATACCAGTCATTCGAGCTACAAAGCAATTTGACTAGTTACGGTCAGAATAATATTAAATCTAAACTAGGTAGACTTTAATGTCTTAGTTTAGAAGTCTTCGGTACCTACAACGCAATTGAATACCGCGTATAATAATTTAATAATCATCATCATCATCATCATGATTTTACTTAAAGAAAATCTACACATTCTAATAAGAAATAAGCCTCAACTGTCAGTGAATCGATTAAAGACATCACTAACGTATCATGACAACTTAAAGTAGTCGTAAATTTCTTAAAATCATGAATAAATCTTTCATCTTAATAAAGACAAAATGAATGCAACTTATTAAACGTCTCCAACACTACCAAGAATGCAATTCGCAATGATTTGCGCCCATTAAGTCTGTGACTGTCTAGACAGAAAATTCCAACAGCATTGCGCAATACCAGACAATTTCTCTCTTTTGAATATGGATCATGTTTCATTGGTGTCTTTGATGACAATTAAGGGATTGTGGTAAAGTTTCCAGTTGTATTGGATAAACTGTAATTCTTTAATAATATGCTTTTAGATAAAATTTTAAATTGCTATATAAATTATTTAATTGAATGGTTTTTAATTAACTCTTCTATAGGTTTACATCCTTCCCCCAAAAGTTAGAGTGCATCGGAGGGGCTTTAGTGGATATGCCATCTACGTTTTGACTAGATGGAGAGACACACACATCCCCGTTACCTGTCACCTGTCAAGTAGCAGGGACAATGCATCAAGCAATTCCCTACGACAAAAAAAAAGGTTTGCATGCCATAATTTAATTCTAAATAATGACATCAATATAGATGCAGTAATACTAGTACTAGTAATACAGCAGAGAGAAGAGACGGGCTATGATACAAAAACGTGAGCGTTGAAAGAAAATAACGAAATGTGTCGCCCGTAGAAGTGTAACGAATGTTTGGATAACTACATTATTCCAATGATTTGCTAACCTAAATTACTAATAATTGAAGTAATGTAGTAAAAACTCATTTAAATTTTATGAGACTTTTATATTTAAGTATAACTATTTAGTAACATCATCAAAGACCCGATTATTTCCATAGAAACTGGAATACTTGTAAATACAAAATACTCATATAACATTTAACAACAGTAAGCGAATAATTATATGCTTACAGCATAAAAAATCAAAAGAGTTTCATTTTCAGGCGCAACAGTTTGTAGCTGTCAAGACACTATTTCTATTTAGCTATGTTTTAAGTTTGATGCGTCATTGTGCTAATATATGTTTTGTTAAGATAATTCAAGTCACTTAGCAAACATTAGCACTCAACTTTCTAAAGCGCCCTCTATATTTACCTCTCTCCCACTGAGTCGATCATTAGAAAAACTGCATCTCATGTATTTAATAACGACATCAATGTGCACCCCACACAAGAAATCTATTAACGTCACTACAAAGGTTTTTATAATATATCAAATGACATTCGTTTACAACTACACTTGCTAACATTTAGCTCTAAGGTATGTAGGAAATTTTCTGGAATATCAAATCGAATGATTTTCACTGTTAGATCAACAATATTATTGAAAAAAAATCGAAAAGTAATTAAAAAAAGATCAAAAAGTTAGTAACTGATAAATTGGAATAAGGTAAAATAATGTTAAGTATGATTTTACATAAAATGTGTATCTCGTTTAAGCCTTTTCAGTTAGTTGTTTTACACACAGGCTGATTTTTGTTAGATAGTATTTTTGTCATATATTTTTAGATAGATAAATTACTAGATTAATATAGAAAGTGAAAAAACAGAGTCCATATTTTATTAGTATTACGATAATGATAATCATGATTTTTTTTTTGAAATCCTTGTATGAGCCCTTTAATTTAATATCCATATTATACAGCATTTGATATATAGTATTTGAAACAAAAAATATCATTAAGTACAATGGCGTCGCACAGACGCCATATTTGTTTCTTTAACATCACCTATCTAAGAACATTTGGGCTGCTAAGATGAATCTAACAGGTTCTGATGTTAGAAGGTAATATAGAATACTACTTACCTTTTTTTTCCCCTGTGGCAATACTAGCGTAAACAGCTGTTATTGTTATCTCTTACTTTTTAGTTTTTGTTTTATTAATATTTATGTTACTTATGGCTAATTTCTAAAGAATCACGTAATATTTGTGTAATTGAATTATAAATATTGTTTATGTGAACATCAGTGTATCGTAATGAAACTTGTTTTTACGTAAGTACAAATCTGTATCAACCGGTGAATGACGTCTCCCTTTTTAAAATTGTTAATCGTTGTTGTTCCTCTTGTATGATTTTTTTTGTTTTTTTTTTCTCGTCTATTAATGCATCACGAATAATATTTACAGGCTAAGTTACTTTTTAGCCAAAAAGTGTTGAGTTTTCCTTCAGATAACCTCACACTAGTTGATCGAACGACTTCTTGGACTATTGCTAAATAGTTTTCTATTAACCTAAAATGATGACACGTAAAGCCTTAGCTCGTCAAGAGGAATCAAAATTTCAAATTACTTTACAGGAATTAAAGGCCACCAAGGAGTTGGTTGAGCAATTACTTAGGGAGAGGGAGGACAATGAAAAAGAGTTATTGGATGTGCTAGAAAAGAATAAGCTATGTAAAAAAGAACTGTCTGAATTGCATTGTAATTATTTAATAATAACTGAGGAGAAAGATAGATTACAGTTAGTAATAGAAGGGTTCGACCAATGCAGAAGTGAGTATGAGAAGGCCCTTAGGCTCATTTCTGGATTGGAACAGCAACTACAGGAGGCTAACGATTGCATATATAAACTGGAATCTGAGCAAACAAAGGTTATGGCCTCTCAGAACCAGAGTCTATATGATGAGTTGGTTGGTTGCGCCCCCAGTCTCGTTTCTGCCTCACTTAACATTAACCCAGTGACAATTGGATTGACTACAGAAGATTTTATTGAGTGTTCTGTAAAAAGAGGTCTTGTTAGGTGTAGTAGGAAAGGATTGAGAAAATATATAAAACTAAATAGGTATGTTAATAAAACAATAAAAACTATTACATAAACAAATACTAATTAACAAAAATTCGAAATTCTCAAAGGAACGCATACAATTGATAGAAAAATTAGAAACTTGCCGTTCTATAATCGATGAAAATAGGACAACCTATGAAGAGAATATTAACATGTTAAATAGCAAAATAAATAACCTGCAAAATTCATTAGTAAAAATGACAAAAAATTATGATCACTCCAAAACAGAGATAGGGGAATACATACTAGCCTTAAAATGCTTATCAAATACCTCTATATCAGAGGGTACACAATTGGATTCTTTCTCCTTGGTGTCAGGCCTGGATTCCAGGGAGAAGCAAAATAAACAATCAGTATGTGAGCCCTTATACTCTAATTCTGTTAATTATACACAAAGCACAAGTGACAATAACTCTTTTAACAATAAAAAATGTATAAAAACGGTTATATTATGTGATGAATTTGGAAAAGACTTGGGCCACTAATTACATAACCAGTTGGGAGATAACATTATTAATTATTGTATGCCCGGTATTGAATTCCATCAACTAATGCAAAAAGTGCTTACTTTAAATATTGACGAGGATACAAACTTAGTAATTTTAATTGGAAACAGAGGTAATGTAATTAAAAGAGAATTATGTAACTACTTCAATACCTTAAGCTCCTTGAATTTAAATAAAATTATTATGTTTACATTACCTTATAGTAACAGTTTGCCACAGGAGGAAAATAATATTAGATATAAGATATGACATTAAATACTATAGCTAATTATAATAAAAAAATACATGTAATTGACAAAAACAAATTAATCTTTAATTTATATTTGACAAGAGATAAATATTATCTTTCTTTCTATTTTAAGAGACAAATAGCATCCTCGCTAGTATTTTATTTTAAAAATTTAGCCAATAATTTGGCTATCTCTACTGCTTTTATTGAGCAGAATGATTTTGACTTAAACAAAAAGTAATTTAGAAAAATTTAAAAACAGTGTTTCTGCAAATCAAACTCAGTTGACAACTAGTAATTTGGAAAATATAAATGATGTTTATAATAATTTCTTTAACTTGATAAAGGGAGAATTTGATAAAACATTTAAACTCAAAACAATTAACTTTACTAACCAAAAAAAGAAATTTAGTGATTGGGCTACACCTGGCATCTACAAAAGTCGAAATAGGCTGTATGATTTTGAAATAGGCTGTACGATACAAATCATACAGCCTATTTCGACTTTTGTAGATGCCAGGTGTAGCCCAATCATGTCAGAAATTATTCGAAAATTTTTAGGAAAGTATGTGTTTCAGCAAAAGCAAAATATATATCTGAAAAAATTTACAATTTAGAAAATAAAATAAAAACAACCTGGACTATCATAAATCAAGAAACGGGTAAAAATAAAAGTAATATGCGCACATACTCATTAGAGGTTGACAATAAAATTATTAAAACAGATGAAGCGGTTGCCGATACATTTGAGAAATTCTTTTCTAAGACACCAATAGAAATCACTAGAAATCTTAGTTCATGTTCTAAACTTGCGGTTACGCATCTAGAGTCAATTGTTGATAAGTGCAATACTGAATTTTATTTTAGACACGTTAACGTCTGCTCAATTATTAAAACGTTTAATTCTATTAATGTCAAAAAAACCGAAGATCTTTGGGGCGTGTCAACTTATGTTATCAAATCTATACTACCATCTATAGCGCCTCAATTAACTTTTATTTTTAATAAGTGCATTGATGAAGGAACTTTTCCTGATTTAATGAAATATGGTAAAATAATCCCATTTTTCAAGGCAGGCGACAAGTCTGATCCCAGTAATTTCAGACCAATTTCTATACTACCAGCGTTAAGTAAAGTATTTGAGAAAATGATTAACAATCAACTGCTTGCACACTTTTCATTAAATAAATTACTTCACCAAAATCAGTTTGGCTTTAGCAGAGGTAAATGTACCACAGACGCTGGAATTGCACTACTGAGGCATATCTATGATGCTTGGGAGAATAAACAAGATGCTATTGGCATTTTTTGTGATCTATCAAAAGCATTCGACTGCGTTAGTCATGAAATACTGTTGGGGAAATTAGAGCATTATGGTGTGACGAAAAATTCACTTCATCTAATAAGATCATGTCTTTCTGCTAGAATTCAAAAAGTAGTAATCAATGAAGCGAAATCTGCAGGGGTACCAGTTACTATGGGCGTACCTCAGGGATCGATATTAGGACCATTGCTTTTTCTAATTTATATTAATGATCTTCCTCACTTTACGAAGAATTTGTGCGAGACAGTATTATTTGCAGATGACACCTCTTTACTGTTTAAAGTCGAGAGGGGTAATGATTGTTTTGACGATGTAAATAATGCTCTCGACAATGTTCTACAGTGGTTTGATAATAATAATTTAAACCTCAATTCAAATAAAACGAAATGCATAAAGTTTGCATTACCTAATGTGAGGCATGTCAGTACACTTATAAATGTAAATAGTGAAAAAGTTGAGTTAGTAGAATCGACAAAGTTCCTTGGTATTACACTAGATTCCCGACTGCAATGGGATCCTCATATTGATAGCTTGTCAAGTAGACTGAGTTCTGCAGCTTTTGCTGTTAAGAAAATTAGACTCTTGACAAATGTTGAAACGGCAAGATTGGTATATTTTAGTTATTTTCATAGTGTAATGACGTATGGTTTATTGTTATGGGGTTCTGCGGCTAGCATTCAGGATATTTTTATTTTACAAAAGAGAGCTGTCCGTGCTATATATAATTTACGGTCTAGGGAATCTCTCAGAGAAATATTTAAAGAAATAAATATTCTGACTGTTGCCTTTCAATACATCTATGAGAATATTATGTACACAAGAAAACATTACGATTCCTTCACAAAAAAAAGTAGTGTTCATAATCTTAACACAAGAAATAAAGATAAACTTGCCGTTCCAAGCTTCAGACTTCAAAAAACCAGAGGATCATTTCTGGGTAAATGTATTGCTATGTTCAATAAAGTTCCACAAAATGTAATTGACCTACCCATAAATAAATTTCAAATTCATGTAAAGAATATACTTATGAGTAAAGGCTATTATAAAGTTGATGATTATTTTAAGGATCGCAATGTATGGAATTAATAGCCTTCGCTTTGTTCTAATTATATGTTCAACCTATGTTCTACAGACTTTGAAAGTTGTATTTACTATTGTGATAAATTGATAATATATATTATTTTGGTAATGACATGATTTATGTAAATGTAATTTCATAACTTATAATAAAAAGCTGGTAAGTTTCTTTCGCTTGTTCTTCTTGTCAGCTAAAAGACGTCCTGAACAAGTGGTAGGGGAAAAATGTTTTTTGGACGATTCAAAAGTGCTTGTAATAGCCTACTTGAATAAAGATATTTTCATTTAATTTCATTTCATTTGCAGTCGGGTAGTAAAAGCTTTATAAAAACTTGCTTATATCGAAGAGGCATAGACGTAGAAAATACTATCATTACAGTACGACGTATAGACGCAGAAAATACATTAAAGGTGACTTTAACGTCTTTTTTAGTCACTAAGCCTTACATGATCGCTCAAATAAGTAGTAAATATGTACAATATTCAGTTAATGTTGCTTAAAATAGGTTAATAGTAGGCGTATGTTTCGTATGAAAGTAAAATACTAAGAATAAAATTCATATGTTCACATAATATGATAGAAAATACTCCTTTATTAAGCAGAGGAGGTGTATTCATAAATTCCCATTAGCATCCTTTAGATACACAACCGAAAACATGAAACTCTCTCAGATATAAAATCTATAAAAAAATACTTTACCAAAACAAGTACTTGAGACGCTATATGTAACAAAGTGACACTAATTGAAGAACAGTTACAAGAAGATGTTATAAACATTCCGGATCGCATTAAGCTAGTCACTATCAGTGTGATCTAACCGCCCACAGCTGTCAAAAAGAAATAAATATGTTATTACGAATACGTACCAGTTCCAATCTGATAACTGCTAATCTCTATTACAATTAAAAAGTTTTAGGTTCAACAACATTAGATGGACGTGATATTCGTATTTTGTTGGAACACGTACCCAATCATTAGGGTTGCCAATAATGTAAGGAGAATAGCTGATCGGTGCGTCTGTTGACGTTATACCGAATTTAGTAGTTATAAAGGTAATTTAATTACAGTAGGAAACTTTGAATAAATTTTTAAATCAATAAGTTAACACTTTCGGCTTTTAAATTGTATCTAATACCTATTCTTATTTCTGTGTTATATCAGCATAATAATTTAAGTATGAAAATGAAAATTAATGTTATAAAAATATGAAATGATGAAGGTGTGACAACTATCCAGACTGGTTACGGTATTATATAAAATTCTATTTTCCATATTAAATCAATCGAGAATAGATCCCAACATTGATAAAAAGTTAACAATAAAAGTCATAAGGAGTGGTATTAATAAGATAGATAAAGTTATTGGATAATCATATTAACTATTTAATATTGATTTTTCTATTGACGAAATCGCAGACTGCTAATTTTACTTTAAAAAAATTGTTACTGTTACAAATAGTGAAGCTTCTAAGTAAAACTTTTGTCAGCCCTATCAGATGTGGACGTGAGTCGACAAAATCTGGTTTTTTGCTGTCGGACAATATAATAAATGGTGTGGAATGGGACTCGTTTTGCGGAAGTATTGGACATTATATGGACGGATGATCGCATCCCCATCAATAATGTTTAACACTGATTGAAACGAAGAATTATGCTTACCATATATATTTTTTATTTATACTTTCCTCGTAAATGTGAACTGTAGCTATAAATAATTCTTGTAAGTTTGCCATTAAAATTAATTTTGACAAAAACATTTTTGTTTCTAAATAGGGATTCTGACTTATTTTTGTTGCTCTATCCATATGTTAGATTATTAAAGAATAATGAACGTATTTTTTTTCGTAATTACGTACATTTTCTACATAGTTGTGGCGTAGTAGGCCCCCACTTCTCAACTTTAAATGCCTATTATCTAAGCCATTTATTGCATTGAAGCAAAAAAAAACGCATCGTATATTTTTCTATACTGGCGGATTAAATAGATTTTTTTTACCCAAGCATCATCTCTTTTTTATGAAATACGTTTTGTCATCATTTATTAGAAATAAAATTAAGGATATCAAATTTTGAATTATTAATAAAAAAATAAAATCTAATCTTCAAATGTAATAACAATCGTATTTTCAGTATCCCATGAAACGTATTTAAAAAGAATGAAGAATTCTTCCAGCAAGGCTGCACTTTGGTGTCAGCAGTAGGAAGCGACCTGTCACTGCCCGGCATAATAAAGGTTATGTTGGAGATTGGTGGTGGCATCCCTTTGCGAAGAAACTATGTCGCAGAAGGTGGCCGTGATGTGGATTCGTGGTTCGCTCGCGCGGTATCGATCCACAGCATGAGTGTTCGGTGGAGACACTACGCCAATGCTAAGTTTCTATAAGCAGGACCAGCGAATGATGAACGAATGAAAGAATGAATAAATAAATGTGTGTGTGTGTGTGTGTATGTGTGTGTGTAACACAGATACACATAAACTCAAAAACTAAATAACCTGGGACACTCTGAATCAATATATACGTACAAAGCTAAAATATCGGAATCAGGCACCCCTATTGACTCATAAATAAAACAATAGAACAAACAATAGCCGTGACAAATTTTTCGTTTACCAAATACATTTTTCTGCAATGCTCCGAAGGAGACAATGCCAGCTCGCTTCATTAAACGTCAAATTATCAACTTGCACCATCCACGAATTTCAAACAGAAACAGCCTTTAAAAGACTCGGAGGCAATGCTCTCCACTCCTATATACAAAGGCAGCTCGTGAACTAAGCAAATAAAGCACATTATCGCGTACCACGACTTGGAATGCAAGCAATTTTGCAGAAAAATTCGTCAGATCATAACTCATGAGAATTGTGGGGGATTTCGTTGCTTCCGTTAACTAAAAGTAACCGATGGAAAGCTTAAAAGACTTTAAATGTGTGTAGCAAAGGTGGTTTTTCCTTGGTAATATTGAGGGGAAAATTATTTTGCACACTTCATGTAAAGAACGCACCCTCTGCTTGGCGCCTAACCCTCTTACAGTGCATTTAATTGTTTTGATTTTAAATTGTGAAATAAGAAATGCAGGGATAGGGTGCATTTTTATGATTCGAAAAATCATCACAAAAATACTTGAATGAGTTTTGAGCTAGCTTTAATCTAATATTTTTCAGAATATAGGGTATACTCATTAGCGTAAAAGATATTTTAATGTTTCAATGATTTTTATGTGGTTATTGTGCATATTTTTTTGAATTTATCAGCTTCGATTTCTGATCTTTTAAAATGTTGAACCTTATCACACTGAACGCAACATCCAGTGTTCTAAATCAGACACAACATATGTGATATTCCATTTTTCATAAATTAAAAAATGAAAAGAAAAGGCACTCAATTGCCGACTCCGATTAATATACTAATTCTAGTCGTCGTAAAACCAGTTTTTTTAACATAAACAACAACAAATAAAATAGTTTAAATTGCAATGAACATAGGATGGGTTTAATTTGATTCCATAATATTATCGATCGGATGTGGCTACCTAACTCACCAGCCACAGAAAACATTTTAGCTCTGTTATGGCGATAGTTTGTTTCATCATATTTCGATTTTTTTGTGGGAAAATAATGAAACAATGAAAGTAATTATTAGTTTTAAGGAACATTACAAACTTTCAAATTTAGAACATTCATAAGAGCTTAAAGTAGTCATTAAACTTAATAAAAGTTTGTGCTACTGACCATAAGTTAGTAAAACAGCTGTCAGTTCTATAATCGTCTTTCTGTATCGTTCTTTAGCCATTAAGGTATGTTTTAAGTAGTAAAATGTAATGAAATATCGCTATAACATGACTGAGACTGTGACTGATATGTCGTAACTTATCTTATGACTAATGTGTTAAGAGGTGTCACCCCTATTATTCTGTTTAAAAGCATCGAACACGGCGACAACGTCAGCGAGTTCGACGTTGCATTTTTACAGAATACCGAAACTGATAATCGGTAATAATTGTTCTATGTATAACCGTCATTCAATATCGCAAAGGATAACCAACGTTACAAAGTTGTTTGGTTTGTAACTGAATACGGTGTATATTCAATTAGAAAAAGTGTTATACTAGTAGACTTATTTAAGTTTCTCATATAAAAAAAATCAATCATATAAAGCAGTACAAAATTCAAATAGAATATATTATTATTTAGTCTGATGCATTTATAAGCTGTCTTTTTGTATATTCACATGATACGATTGAATAAACTTGCGAAAAAGATAACCAGAAGTCAATGGAAGAAATATCAGCAAAAATTTTAACTTATATGTTTACAAAAATATATTCTTGATTGCGTGTCACTGAAAATTATTTGTGGGCACAGCACTCTCCATAGGTATTAACTTTTTCTGTATCTTTCGCTGTAATTGAATATTCATTTGATACGCGCTACGCGCCCGACTATACCCATAGATTCTGAATACAAGAGCATGCTTCCGAAACTGGGAAAGGCAAATAGTATTACACCGACACATTTTGAAAAATTGAAGTGTGATAGAGTCGGCTATTGTTTCGTTCGTTTTTATTCCAATAATTTGATTGCAGTGTTTGAGCAATGTTCGTTAGTGATTGTGAATGTTTGATTTAATGCTTCCTGCGTAGGTCGCGTTGCGAATCTATGGCGTGGGCGTCGACGATCGCTTATAATTCCAACTTGCAATCTGAGGCGCATACGTGCATAATATTTAAATATACCTGACTCTAATTCTCTATAAAGTAACGTAAGCGTGTGGGGTATATGTTGCAAACCTAATATAAAGATACTAGTTTTTTTGACTAATGATATAATTTTATTTTTTGTAAGTGTTTTGAACATATAGGGGAGACCTAGGAGAGTTGTGACAATTTTTACATAAGGGGCTCTATCTCGCTTAAGAAACATTCCACAGTTATGACTCATGTGAATTAGTTTAGCGCCATTCCTTCTGTTTTCAAAACCATCACTAAAATTAATTAAAGTATAATAGTTTCTGAAAAAAATAAAAAAATTCAAGTCCACTCCCCTTGTCACAACTCTCCTACCACCGAGGTAAGTTGTGACAGGTACCGAGGTAAGTTGTGACATCATTGTATTTAAGCTATAAGATATAAAAATACCATTACATACGACATAAATAAATCAAACACTTTTTTATCAAATCAGTACTTTAATCAGTACTATAATAATAAATTTGACTTGGAAAACACACACTGAACATGTTTGCAAAAAGTTGTCCCAGTATTCTTGTGCACTGTACAAACTTAGTAGGATCGCGAATCAGTGCACGGTCCTTACAGCTTATCACGCGTACGTAGTTTCAACTGTTCGATACGGCATTATATTTTGGGGATATTCGACTGATTCTGTAACTGCCTTTAGAACCCAGAAAAAATGTGTTAGGAGCATATGTCATTTACAGAGTTCGGATACCTGTAGGCCATGTTTTATTAAACTAAATATTATGACCCTGCCAACAACTATTTGAAAATAAGACGAGATTGCGTCATCGAGACAAATTGTGTACGATACCCTCTAAGACAGCTCTGTTGAACAAAAGTATCTTTTGTATGGCTCCAAAAATTTTTGATAAAATTCCAAAAACAATACGTAATCTGGATAATTGTAATGTTTTAAAAAAAAAACTTTATAAATTATTAGTAGCTAAAGCATATTATAGTGTAAACGACTATCTAGCTGACAGTACTTTGTAAATGTATAAACACTTAATGAATTAATTGAATTTTTGACATAACATGTTATTGATTAGATTTGTTGACAATTACTAACCTACTAATATTGTATGCCTTTTTGGCAGATCACGGTGTAACTATTCAGTCCTTGCATCCAATATCTTTATATAACCTGCGATCAACAATAAAGATTGATTTAATTTGACTTGATTAATCATCTTTTAATACCTACCAACTAAAACAACATAGTATTAATATTCTCATAAAAAGTAATTATAATATTTTCATTAACTAAATATGGTATCGCTTTGAGATCAATCATATTATTGTTATAATTAGTATAAAATCTTAATCTAATCTGATTCACAATTATCCCAAACGTAATGCAGCTCGTCCCCGGTACAATCTACGTGTGCCTAGCCTTTGCATTCAAGGCTTTGGACCCACTGATCATTCGATCTGCTGTCTGCATAGGCTTTAAGACAAACCAAATAAAAGCAATTATTTTCTGCATCTTCTTCATCACTTGTTCTATTCTTCTTATTAGTCTTCTTTGGTTTTTTAGGTTTCTTTTTTTTTCTTCGCTTAAGACACGCTTCTTAACATTCTTAGATTTTCAGTCTCTGTATAGTTATTTGGCATTCTCAAAAAAAAAATAAGTATGCGGTATGCCATTATACACCTTAAGTAGCTACTATGTGTTAGTACTACTAACAAACATCTAAAGTTAATAAAAAAATTGTAAAAATAGCCCAGCAGAAATATGGAGTAAGATAGGAGAGTTGTGACAGGCTGTCACAACTCGCCTAGGTGTTCAAAATGACGTCTTGGTCCGAATAATAATTCATATTTTCTAAACACAAAAAATCAGTGCCACGTATTGAGACTTAAATAACTACATAACTAAAGAAAAAATAACACATCAATGCACATATACTAAGATATGATATATATTCAAATAATATTTTGAAGAAAAACTTACTTTTCGCAATTTTTTGTACACTGACGATATATTTACGCAACTGTGCCATATGCACCGTCGACAGGTACTGAGTCGTGTAGCGCGTGTCGAGAACGACAAACAAGCGTTAATGCCATCTCGCTTACTATAATAGGTAGAGAGAAATCCTCCTTGTCACAACTCACCTCTGTCACAACTCACCTAGGTCTCCCCTACCTATGTGTTTTTTTTTTCTCATCTATGGGATTATTCTGTTCAGTAACGATTAGTCTATATATTCTGTTATTTCAAAATCAACAGTTCGTAATAAAGTGCACTTAGAAATGGAATTCGTTACTTCCGGACACTTAGCGATTCTGATCTTTATTCATTAGATGTTTGATGTTAATTTACATTAACGAATCTAACAGCCTAAACCTCTGCAGTGACTGTCGCTTTGCGTAAGTAATGATTCATTAAGTGCGTAATTTAACGAAGTCAAGGTCCATTCAGACGGGAGCCGACGCTAATAGCACAACCCTTGAACTTAACCCGTTGCGGTCACAGCCTCAATGATCCAAACGCACACTCAAATATGCCCTTAACGTGTGAATTTTAATGCTCATGACATAAAGTCCTCAACGACTGCAACCATATAAATGAACAGACAGGACACACTCAATAATTTAAAATTAACAGTTTTAATGAAATTTACAATCGAGCTAGCGAACTAA